TTTTTTACCCAATTTGTTGGATTGTTATAAACTGTATCTCTAAGATATGATGATATATATGTTAAGATATATGTTAAAGGTCATTTGTATTTCTATAAAAATAGATAGTTATTTTAGGAAAAATATGAACAGAAATTTAACCTCAGCTTGGGCCAAGTTTTGGATTTTGAGCCCCCCTGTGTAACTGAGTTGAACACCCCTGTGAAAGTTTATTGTCATTTCATTTGTTTATGACCTCCTTTTTACACTGGACTTGTTCCCCTAATTTCCAAGTCTAAACATAAACAAACACCTGCTGCTCCCAGAAAACCTGCCAGAAACATTAAAACACCGACTGAATCAAATCCAGAACTGATCTGTGAGAAACTGCAGATTTGGAAAAACCCAGAGAGGTTCATGATTGTTCAACTCGTTCGTGGGGTTTTGAAAAACGCTGTCGTCTTGATCATATCACAGTCTGGTTTCCTCTGACAGAACATCGAACTAACTGGATCAGAAAAAAAATATTTTTCTTTATCTGTTAGATTATTTATGTCATAAAACATAATTTGGAAAAGGTCATTTGTATTTCTATAAAAATAGATATATAGCATTTTTAGGAGAAATATGAACAGAAAATGAACCTCAGCTTGGGCCAAGTTTTGCATTTTGAGCCCCCCTGTGTAACTGAGTTTAACACCCCTGCTCTAAAGTTTAAGCATCTTGTTAGGGACATGAAATCTGGAACTTGAGCTAAGACTCAAAGACTAATCGTGGTTTTTAATTTGGGCCCAGTTTGATCCCGCAGCTTTTGTTTTGTTCGCGGAGCTGATTAATTAAAGAAGCTTTTGGAGGAACGGATCAATACGTTAGCGGGATGATTTTGACCTCTGTCCAGGAAGACGCCGCTCAACTTTAACCTTCTGTTCACCGACCAGCGTGAAGCGACTCCAGACAAAACACGGACCAATCACGTCTCCCGATAATCACCTCTTGATTGTGTCATTGTTGGGTTTAAGGTAATGAGAGGGTTTCAGGTCAGGGTTTTCTTTTACAGGCGTGGTCCTTTTTGCTGTCGAGGCCTGTAAAGAAGAGTTGAGTTTGTTTAGGATATAATCTTGTTTGCAGCTGTTGAAACTTGCTCTTAAAATAAAAGAAAAGTGTTTACCTAAACTTGCAGAAGTGTCAGCATCCTGATGTGCTCCTTTGTRTTGGGTTTAACAACAAAACGCCACCCAGCGAAGTGAAAACACTTCAGAGTTTGGGACATAAAGCTCATGAAAGAGACTCTGCGGAGCTGCTCTTTGTCGAGGAGCTCCGTATGGAAATGTGGGACTGCTTAAATTGAATTCTGGGCTTTTGTGACACAAATTCAGGCCCGGCTTCTCAAAATCCACAACTGTTCACACAAATGAGAACTCAGCAACTAATCTACATTTTAACTGACTTTTCAGATGTTATCTGACATCTTAACATCATCATTTAAATGTTTAAAGGAAGGCATGTCACTGTGTCTGCCAGAGTTGAACACTTTCAGACTCTCAGGTACTAGCACAACCAGCTTTTAGGTCAGTTTCTGTGAAAACTCACTGAGGATTGGATAGTTTCACGATAGATAATGTTGATTAACTGGGTTCAACAATGAGCTGCAGGCATATTCATCCAATGATTCCTCTCTGAAAGTTAAAAAAAAATCCATTCACATCATAGTCGTCACTTTAAAAAGCTCTGACGCCTTTTTAAAGGGATCCAAGATTAGTTGTAACATTAAACTTTATTTGATAAACATTTATTTTAACTGTGAAATAAAGACTGTAAAATTACTGTAGGCTGTTTAGTTTTGTAAATTCTTTAAAATATATTTTAACACGGACGGAGCCATTTTATTTACACACAGAGCATTCTGGGTAAATGATGACATCAACTAGGTCATCGGCACGAGGCTGCTAGCGAGCTATATCCACCCTGAAGGTTAATCTTGGACAATATCTGATGATCGACTCTTTTAAATGAAACCAGAGAGCGTTGACAGAGAGGAGAAGGTAGAAATGACTCAGCCTGGAACTGAAAATATGGATGGAGGACAACAGAGCTGCTTCATGGAAGAAGAACCTCAGCTTAGCCTGTTAGCCTTCACGCTAACCCTCACGCTATTTTGCCTTATATGTATTAGCTCAGCGCTAGTGCAACAAACAAGCTAAACTGAGGCCCTCCATCCATATTTTCAGTTGCAGCTGAGTCATTTTTGTGTTCCTCTCTCTGTCATGTGGATGGAGGACCTCAGTGATGAGAGGAAAATATGTAGCACTGAGCTAATACGTATGTATGGTAATAGCATCAGGGCTAACGCTAAAGCTAACAGGSTAAGCTGAGGTTCTTCTTCCATGAAGCAGCTCTGTTGTCCTCCATCCATATTTTCAGTTACAGGCTGAGTCATTTCTACCTTCTCCTCTCTGTCAACGCTCTCTGGTTTCATTTAAAAGAGTCGATCGTCAGATATTGTCCAAGATTAATCTTCAGGGTGGATATAGCTCGCTAGCAGCCTTGCGCCGATGACCTAGTTGATGTCATCAATTTCCCAGAATGCTTTGCGTGTAAATAAAATGGCCCCGTCCGTGTAATGTATTTTTAAACTTTTAGTTTAAAAATTATAAAAACTGAACATCCTACAGTATTTTTACAGTCTTTATATTACAGTTAAATATATGTTTATCATATGAAGTCTAATGTTAACTAATCGGGATCTCTTTAAATTGACGTAGAAACGGTCGACAATAATGAAAAGAAGCCTTTTGACGTCTGAAATGGTCAATTAAATCCCAATTCTTCTAATTTTAACAAGATTAGTGAGAAGTAGGTTAATCTTGGACGTAATCTTTGGTGTCRGGGCTGACACATGTCCACTTTACATCACAGGATTGTAGCCTTGTCCTGATTCAGAGACTGGACAATAAAGACGTCAAACGGGGCTCGACTTGACTTCTGAGTCAAAGTCTGACTCAGAGTGTTTCGTATTTTATATTCTGTGTTTGGGAAATATTAATATAGTGCTAAATAAGAAAAAAGAATACATTATTTTGAAAGATAATAAACAAGATGATGGATTAAGTCAAGAAATGTCATGTCATACACTAGTTAATTTAATTAAAGATGATCAATAAATACATAAATAAAAGCTGAGGGATTTGCTGCCTTTCGTTTCAAACCTTGAACAAAACTTTGTTTTCACAATATCATGCAATATTATGAGATTTTATCCATGCATATTCTCAGCTACTACCACACAAAATTTAATCTCAGCATCTATTAAACTAAACGATTAACATCCATTTTGCCCTAACTAATGCTAATAAGCTATGGCGGCCATCTTTAATTGGATTGACTCCAAAATGTAATCAGTTGTAGATTTTTATCTGGTGTATATTTAAAAAAAGTTTCATTAAAAGACACCCGTTGGTTTATGATAATTTGCTAACAGACAGACTGCTTTGACGCTAAAAATTAATGCTGAATTTTTAGTCTAAGATTTTGTGCAATGACTAGTGGGTTAGGTTTCGTGTTGTGGACAATGCTCAGCTACAGCCACACCAAATTTTAGCTCCATCTGTGCAAAACAATTTTATTTACAGCCACGTTTGTGCTCTGTTAGCTCYATCAGCTGTGATGGTTTCCATGTATCAAGTTGGCAACAAAAGTTAAAGAGTTGTAGGCCAACACTTAGGGAATGTTTCCTGAAAAATTTACTTAAATCCGTTCTTTGTTGCATGAGATATTTTGCTAACAGAAAGGCAGAGACTCAGACCTTGTGCTATGGTTTGTGTTCAAGGTATGTGTTAAAAATAAGTGTTAAAATGATAAAATAAGTGTTAAAAATGATAAAATAAGTGTTAAAAATGACCTGATGAGGTTCAATACTGCAATAAACGTCAAGAAAAATGTTAATTATTTTATATTTTGATGTATTTTGTGTATTTTCGGTTGCTATTATTTGTGAACAAAGTCTAACATTCACTGTGGGGAATTTTAAGAATAATAAAAACTGTAAAATTGTCATGAATTTAAAAAAAAAAATGTTTGTTTTCAGAGCTGTACATCTGTGGCGCGGCCCTGGGCGGGGCCGCGCACCTCTGATGCGCACAAAGAGGGTGTTACCCGGATGTGCGGCCGCTGCAGACATTTCTGCGGCTCCTCCCTGCGCCTTTCCCCGCCGTATAGGATCTCTGACTGGCGCGAAAAACGCACAGTGTGGCTCTTTATTGTGAGGGCGGGAGGAGGGGATCTGCTGTCTGTGCGTCTGAGCCGCYGGTTATTTATCTTTCTTTTATTTTTATTTAAGTTACGGGTTTATTGTTCAACCGAACCTGCCTCTACATCTCTCCCGCTGGAACAGAGGGTTTTTTTTGGTCAGCTTCAGGAGGATTTTCATGTTTAAATTCTGCAGAGATCCGGTGAGTCGCTTTAATGCTTCTCTGAGTTTCTAACGAGGAAACGGTTGTTTGTGAGGTTAAAACCAAGTCTCTAGGCAAACTCAAAACAAAGATTAAATCAGGAAACGCTTCACTGCGCGTTCAATTCTCTGGTTAACTTTACTGTGAGTCGTTTTAAAAATAATCTGAGCTAAATATATCAGTTTGTGTCGTTTCCTTCTGTGCGCAAACAGCCATTACTGCAAAGAGCGCATCCGCAAGACCCGATCAATAATTAATGTGTCCCATTTGTTGAAGCCGGCTGTTCCGGGACGAGGGGGTCCCATTAGGAGGATATCTGGGACGGATCGTGTCTAACTGTGCCCCTCTGCCTGTTTTTTTAGGACCTCCGTTCCTGGGATTAAAGTGGATTTGCTCAGCCTGAACATGGAGTTTGACTGTTTCCAGCCTTATTTCTTCGACCACTTCGACGCGGAGGAGGATTTTTACAAGTCAACTGCGCCCAGCGAGGACATATGGAAAAAGTTTGAGCTGCTGCCCACCCCTCCCATGTCCCCCCACCGGACMCTGAGCGGGGCGGCTCTCTACCTCTCGCCCGGGGACCAGCTCAGCTGGCTGACCAAGGTGCTGGGTCAGGACGAGGACTACGAGGGACGCTTCCTCCCGGACACCGAGGAGCTGCTGGACAACCTGAGCGCGCACATCATCCGGGACTGCATGTGGAGCAGTTTCCCCGGCAGCAAGCCGCCGGAGAAGGTCGGCGGGARGCCGTGCGCCACCCCGGCGCCGGTCAGACCGAGCAAAGCGCAGTGCGCCTCGCCGGGGGGTCTCCCCTCCGCGCCGCCGGACTGCRTCGACCCCGCGGCGGTCCTCACCTTCCCCGCGAGCAGCTGCAGGAAGCCGGCGTCGTCTGGCTCCGAGTCCCGCTCCGATTCCTCTGGTAAGGAAGCAGACATGCTTTAAGAGCACCCCGCCCTGCCCTGCCCGGATTATATTGACCACTAACAATGGGTTATTTGGAGAGCAGTGCAGCAGGAGGGGTGATCCAGTTCAAAGTCTCCTCAAATGGGGATTTTTTTCTCTCCTCTTCCTGACAAAGCGCCTCATGCTTCCTCTGAAGGAGCCATGCTTTAAAAAAACCGCGCCCCTATCACTTCTAGGTGAACTCCCCTCCTTCCTTTTATCTGTAGCTGCAACACAACCAGGGTGCGGTAAAGGGGCCCCTGTCTTGRTGATTTATTGCTGTTATCCACTGACACAATTTCTACAAGCCCTCCCCCCTCATTTAAATATTTATTGCGTAATTCCTGCTCACTTCCTGGTTTGGCTGCATCGATCTGATTTGTTGGGAAGTGAAACATGTGAGGTGTCGCCCTGCTGTGAACCTTTTTTGTTGGTTTTAATAGTTTGTTTTTCTGAACAGACGACGACGACGAGGAGGAGGAAATCGACGTCGTCACCGTGGAGAGCAAGCAGAAGCGAGCTCGGCCCTTCAGCGTCAGGAAGCCCGTCACCGTCACGGTGCGCGCCGACCCCTGCCCCAAACGCTTCCAYGTGTCCGTCCACCGGCAGCAGCACAACTACGCCGCCCGCTCCCCGGACAGCGACCCGGAACCCGAGGAGGAGGAGGAGGACGACGACGACGACTACGAGGAAGAGCCCCGGGGCAAACGCGCCTGCCCGGCGTCCCCCTCGGACACCACGCCGCAGAGCTCGGACGTGGAGGACACGGACCGCCGCAAGAACCACAACTTCCTGGAGCGGAAGAGGCGGAACGATCTCAGGTCTCGCTTCCTCGCCCTGCGCGACCAGATCCCCAGCCTGGAGGCGGCCAAGGCCCCCAAGGTGGCCATCCTGACCCGGGCCACGGAGTACCTCATGGAGCTGCACACCAAGGAGAGGCGGAACCTCCAGGAGAAGAAGCGCCTCAGGTCCCGGCAGCAGCAGCTCCTCCGCAGATTATCAGAACTCAAACGCTCGTGAGAGCGCCGCCCGGAAACATCAAGGACCGTTCCTCTCACYTGACCCGTCACTTTGGAAAGCTATCCGTTTTAAATAGCGACATGCCTCATGTACATAGCTGTGAATTGTAGTTCTGGATGATCCTATGGCTGTGGGCCTTAACTCCACTGTCACCCTGGGAGCCTGGTAGGGGGCGGAGCCTCAGTTGGATCTCAGTGCTGTTTTTTTTTTTTTATTCTTTGCACATTTTTTTATTTTTAGTTGTAAACACGGGGACAGATAATTTTTTTGTTTTGTTTTGTTTTATTAGCTGGTATGCTGCGATGCAAAATTTTTACTTGTGTAGCCGTCTGGATGAGTGGACATCTTTGTTTTTATAACGCGTGAATGCCTTTCTGCCTGCCAGAGTTCTGGAGAGCATCCAGTTTGTTTTGATGTACATATTGTTTTGTAAATAATAGCTTATTCCTCCTGTTAATGATAGAACCGGGAGTGGTTTCTTGTTTGGAAAATTTGCTCCTCTGTGCCACAAAAACCTCTATTTTGATAAGAAACAATGAAAAAAAGAAAAAAGTTGCACTGCTGTACTTTATATTTCACATGTCACTTTGTGATTTCAATGCTTCTCTGGTTTTGATTTTTTTTAGCACGAACTCAACAGCATAATTAAAAATTTTATACCATATTTGCATAAAAACTTGAAGTCTTTTGGTTTTTATTCATGTCGAACATCAAATTGGCACCAAACTCAAGCATTTGATGCCGATTTTTAAATTTGAACTCTGATCAAAATGATTTTTAACGGCTCGATTCATAGTTTTTATTTTGAAGGTTTTGTGCTCCAGCTGCTGCTCTGAAGGTGAAAGCTCGTCCTTGAGGAGAGGCTGCGTTGTGGATCCTCCCCTCTGCAGTGGCTGCTGCACGCTGGGCACCTGATGTGCTCAGAAATGGGTCACAGACATAAATACAGCCGGTATCTTTAGAGCTGCGGCCTCCGAGTGAAGCGCCACTTTAGGTTTGGTCCAGGGAATAAGACTGGGTTGCTCCACGAGGCTGAAAACCCACCTGGAGATCCAGGAGATTGTCACGACCGATCCAGATGCTGCCGGGGTTTTAAGGCACTTGTGTGTGCAGATGTGCAGACCCCGCCCAGACAACCAGGCTGCACCACAGCAGACAGATCAATACATGAATAAACACACAGGGAGAGGAGAATTGACCTCATAAATATAATAAAAAAACACCATAAAAGATTGGTTTGCAACACAGAACATGAAATAATGCCTACATAAATATATCATTGATAGGATATGAAAAAAGCGCAACAAAATACAGGAGCGGAAAAAAAAATTGTTGCATTTTTGATTAGTTGATCACAGTTTTTTGTCTATAAATTCAGAAACATTTCCTGACATTTTGCAGAGTTCAGCCAACTTAATATGCTGCTTTGAATCTGCTCCGAAATTTAAAAAAAAAAAACAGTAAAAATGTGCAGATTAATGCTGTGGGAAGTAGGGGTGCAGAGGGTGCCTTAGCACCCCCTGATGGCAGCAGGAGGAGCATGTCCAAACATGATTAATAAGAAAGAAAATGCAGATGTTTTTTGTGCTTTATGTTTTTGAATTCCGTGGATATTTTTTTAGTAAATCTGGTATCAAAAGCAGCAGTTATTCTTCGCAGAGCTGCACTCAACATGCAACTTTATAAATATTGTCTCTTTTAGATGAACAGCATAGTGTGTTTTTAAATCAGACAACCGTGTACATTTTATTGCGTTTGGTACTATGATAAAAAGTTTGAGTTTTTCTTTTTCTAGAGCAAAAATCGGACRTTTCCTTTTCCCTCAGAAATTAATGAGTCTCAACTCGACACGAGCGTCCATCGTCAGGTGTCTTCACCCTCGGCGGTGGTGGAGATGACTTCACCGCTGATGAGTCTCTGCAGGCCTGAGTGAGTGACTCAGCGTTGAGCTCCTGTCATGTATTTAATGAAGTCAGAGGCAGCCATGTGGTTCAGGTAGTCCAGCCTGACAGACGAGCCCCGGCACACCCTGCGCGCCAACCGTCCTGCACTTTACTCTCCTTTGTTGTTGCTTGGGAATGGTTGGAGCTTCACCTGTTTGTCTTTGCTCTGCCCTCGGGTCACCGTTTTGCGACATAACTGAATTATTCAGCGGAAGACTTGGTTAAGACATCATAAAGTGAAACCTAATGACTTTGCATGTATTTCATAGCTGTTCATAGCATTTCTACAGGATGAGTTTGGATCTTTCYAGTGCTCAACCTTCCTTTGTAAACCGAAAACAAACCAAAGCATCGGATAACCTGATGTTTCTCATCATCTCGACTGTCACTTACAACAGATAACGCCTTTGATTGTCCCAACTCCTGCTGTGTTGCTTGTATTTTTTATCAAAAAGTGAGCGCAGATCTCAGGTTTTGGATCTGATAGGAGCAACCCGTCTGACAAACAGGCTYGATTTCAAATAGAAACAGCAATATTCACAAAGATACCCCTCCAAATGATGCATTTGACCTCATTTCCCAGCTTTCTTCATGCAAAAAGTCTCCATCATTGATCTGCAGCAGAATGGTTCATGTTGGTAACCTTCAGAGAATTCAAAGMATTTTAACGTTCCGTGTTTCTGGTTTAAACATGCGTAACGGCCTCAGAACAGGCTCTAAAACAGCAAGAAAACACCTTTACTTTTCCAGTCAGGAGTTTTTAATCTCTTCCATTTGTTCTAATGTTGATAATTAAAACTCTGTTGATTTGTTTTCTTTTGTTCAAGCCAGGCTTTTTTTTTCTGTGAGGAAACAATCAAGTCAAAGGATCTCTTTGTCCTGAAGTTCTGTGCTGCTCAGACGGTTAACTCGCCCAACCAGATTTTCTGCTCACACCGATCCACTTCTGAGGCGCTCGTGGACAAAGATGTCCTTATTCTTATCT